CCGCTCGCCAACTCGCGGTACGCCACGGTGCTTGCGGCACCCGACCAAGGACACGCTCTACCTCTACATGAAGACGATCGAGCGGGCCCACACGCCGTCGCGGCTCTGGGAGAAGATCAAGCTGCCGACCAACTACGCCAAGGCGCTCGAGGAGATTGACAAGCGGCTCATCTACTGGCCCAACTTTATGATCCACAAGTGCAAGCAGCGCCTGACGCGGCTGACGCAGGTCAACATCCGCATGCGCAAGATCGCCGCCGAGGAGGCCCGCCTCGGCGAGAAGCTCGTGCCCAAGCTGCCCAACAAGGTGCGGAACCGCGAGGAGGCCCGCGAGCGCAAGGCCGAGGCTGCTGCCAAGCTCGAGCGCACCATTGAGAGGGAGCTCGTCGAGAGGTTACGCTCCGGCGCCTACGGCGACCAGCCCCTCAACGTCAGCGAGTCCATCTGGAAGCGCGTCCTCGGCGCCATGGAGAAGGACGGCCAGGCCAAGAGAGACAAGGACCTGGACACGGGCATCGAGTCGGAGGACGAGGACGAGGACGAGTTGGACAGCCAGGCCGAGTCGGAGGACGACCTCGAGAAGGAGGTCGAGTACGTGTCCGACATTGAGGAGAGCGAGGACGAGGGTCTCGAGGATATCCAGGACTGGCTCGGCAGCGACGCCGACGAGGATGACGAGGACGACGAGGACGACGAGGACTCGGACGACAGCGACGCCGGCAAGAAGAAGTCGGGCGACAAGCGCAAGCGTGGCCGCGCCGTCAAGCTCAACAACAAGCGGCTCAAGCAGAGGGTCGCTGACCGGCCCAAGGTGGCCGAGGAGCTCACCTGGTGAGGAGGCCATGTGCGGGGCGGTTGAAAACGTTTTTCAAACGAGCGGATTTCGGGTTTCGGGTGTCACGAGGTTTTTTGTCTCCATCATCGTCATCATCATAGCAATGTCACATTATACCCATGGACTCTGTTGTGACGTGATTGTCAGTGTCTCTCTCAACTATCACCTGTCAGGTCTCTCCCACGACTCTGTCGGGATACTCCGTTAGTCGCAGATCGGATAAATGCATGGCGACATAATGCAGTGAAGGTGGTGGGGTCCAGTGAATGGTGGGGCACAGCTCTGGTCAACGACACTGGCCGCACCTGCCTTGGCCGCCGCTCCTTTGATCATGTTCCATGTTCCATGCCCCCCCCCCCCCCCAAAGTTGAAACCTCCTCCAGGCACGAACCCACCTCCGACCAAACGATCCGACCCACCTACGACAAATCGCCCTCTCCAAGTCAAGTCCGACTTCTCTGCAGTCCATCTCTACAACCGAACCAGGGCAATCCGCAGCATTCCACACGACACTCGCCAATCGAGCACCCGAAAAGCAAATCGTAGAACCCTCCGCCTCCTCCCCAGCACCCCGCAGCACCGCAACGCCGCAACACCGCAACGACCGCCTGAACAAGGAGCCTGAACACTACAAAGAAAGCCTAGGCCGGCAAAGGGGAGCCCGAAAGCACGAGAGCACAGTTTTCCTCCTGTCTCTCTCTCTCCCTCTCTCTCTCTTTCCCTCTCTCCCCTCTCACCCTACGCAGAGCAGCCCACCATGGCCTCGTGGTACAAGAACATACTCACAAACACAACGTCGCAGCTCTCGAGCCTGCAGTCGCGGCTCCTGCAGACGGAGAACGACGGCGACACGGAGGACGACACGCACGTCTGCCGCGTGCTCCGCGCCTACTACACCCAGGAGCAGCGGCCCTTTCCCGGCTGGCTGCCGCCGGATCCCAAGGCCCCGCCGCCCGTGGCCCCCGTCTACGCCTCGACCCAGCCCCAGGTCGGCGCGCGCTACGGTGCCGCCGCGTCGGGCGGCGGCGGTCAGCTCGGCGGCGTCCCGGCGTCGGGATCGCTGAGCTCGCTGTGGGATAGGAACCCGGCGCAGCAGGGGCAAAACGCGCCGCAGAGCCTGCGGCAGGGGCGGGGAGGCGGCGGGCAGCAGAGGGTGAGCCCGTTCGCTCAGGGTGGCGGCGGCGGCGGCGGCGGCGACGACAGGCCCGGCACCGGGGGTAGGGCCGGGAGCTACCAGTCTGGCAGCGTGTACTCGCAGGGATCGACAAGCGCGCCGGCGCCGGCGGCTGCGGGTGGAGGTTCGGCGCAGGACAGGTTGAAGCAGAGGCTTTGGGGCGGCGGCGCGAGGACGACGAGCCCGGCGGGGTCGCAGGGCCCTACCAACCGCCGAGCTCGGGAGGCGCAGCCATGGC